TTGGCCAAATATTCATACAAATGAGTCTATGGGAATCATTCTCAAACTATCACAAGCAACTTATCGGAGGATGGCATGAAAATATGGCAAGTTTCATGGAAAAACATGTAATCCAACAAATGCACAGAACAAAGAATCTCCAAGGTAAGGATGACGCAGGCAGTTTCCCCCAATATCATAGCCTCAGCAAAAGAAACCAGCTTTGACAAGTATACCACTTACAAGGTTAGGGACATGCGCATTAGAAAAAGTAAGTAAAAAGTATGAAATACAAGTAAAAATAATAAAAAGAGAAAACGTAAGATAGTATTGGAAGGGAGTTTCAGCGAATACTGACATTCACCTGTGTTTAATTTCCGTACACTTTTATACCCCAATACAGGGGGAGGAAGACAAAAGACTGCTTTAACATGATACAAAGGACAACTAGAACAGTTACTTGTTTCAATACTTTGAGCCATCAAGCCATGAATCTATGAGAAAACCATTTTGTTGTTTAGGCAGTGAACCCACACTAGACCAAGTATCCTGAAGGGAGTCACTCCCTAGGTCAAACTCCTAATTCAAGAGAAGAAGCATAAGTATGCTTGAATTTTCTGACCTTTGGTCATCTTAACATCAAAGGGACCAAGCAACCACACCGTGGGTCAGGATGTGCAGCCCTAGTTGTTGTCAACAATTTTGAGCAAACTTAAACCCTCTGAACTTCAGACAAGGTAGAAATGAACTCCACAAATTCCTCCCTGTTTATTAATTTTAATAAAGCCTGAGTTTCTGCTAAAGACAGATGATCGTGTCTACCTTAGGTGAACATTTCTTTGTTTCTTAGATTTTCCCGTCTTTGGTACATACATTCTAACCATATATGATACCCATGTCTTAGTTACCTGGGTGGAAAAGAATCATACCCATCTCTGACTGCTGACCTCTGTTAGCAAAGGATTAAGGGAGAAAGCATCTCTAGTCACTTTGCAACTTTGAGCCAAATTTTTGTCAAAAGACTTTACAACAACAAAATAATCACGTGCAAGCAGATAATGCTTTGCAACATATATGCTCCTATGGCTACAGTATCTCCTAATTAAAGATTGGAGGCTCATCAGGGGTGGGAATACCTGCTTGAGGTTTGTCTAGGGTGTTTTTTTTTTTTAACAGTTTTTAGCTGTATCAAAATCTAAATTTGTTAAATCAAAGAACTCATTTGTAATATCAAATGGGATTAAAGGTGGTGGTGGCACACATCTTTAATCCCAGCACCTGGGAGGCAGAGGTAGACAGATCTCAGTGAGTTTGAGGCCAGCTTGGTCTTCAAAACAAATTCTACAATACCAGGGCTACATAGAGAAGTACTGTCTCAGAAAACCAAAATGAAAAACAAAAAAAAAAGAGCAATAGTGGGCCATAGATGATTTTCAAAAGAGGATGGGGGTACCATGCATGGGCTTGCTTTTTCATAAAAACGGATCCTCGCTATTGTGCAAGAATAGACCTAGGAGAGAAAATGTGAGCAGAATAAAGGCAAGAGATGCCAGTATGTTGGGAAAGATTGCGAAGCTTGGTTGAGAATACTGGCTAGGAATATAGGACTCAGCTAGGCTGTGGGATAACACATAGGGAGAGGAAGGACAAAGGAATAATGAGCAGCTATGCAGATGACAGTGCCATGAGTCAGGAGAGGGGCAGATGCAAGTTAGAAGGAATGATCAAATTAATATATTCCTTTATGACCACTAGTGAAATGGAAACAGTACGTTCTATATAATAATGTATCGATATTCATATTCTACAAAGTTCTGGGGATAGAAATCCTTAGATACAGGAGAGAGATGGTACATAGAAATATAGAGATGTTAGGAATCTTCTCTGGAGGACAAGATTCTAGAAGATAGTACACATTTTAATATGCCAGATCCAATTTTTTTAATTATTACACCTTTTAAACAATTAAAGCTTTGACTTAGTTAATAACTGTACCAGTATGTTTTTTATTGCTATAATAAAGACCAAGACCAAGGGTAACTTAGGAGAAAAGAGTTCATTTGATGATATATTCTGATCATAATCCACCACTAAAGAAAAACATGAAAGAAACTTAAGGCAGAAACTAAACTAGAGGCCATGGAGAAACACTGCTTCCTGGCTTGCTTTCCATGACTTGCTTACTCTATGTTCTTATACAAACCAGGACCACCTATTTAGAGAGGACACGGCCCCAGTGTACTGGGCCCTCCCACATCAACTCTTAATCAAGAATATGTCCTACAGACCAATCAACAGACGTATTTTCCCAGTTGAGGTTCCCCTTCCCAAATACCCATAACTTGAGTCAAGTTGACAAGAAAGTAACCAACAAAATCAGCATGTAAAATAATAGTTTATCTGGATCACCATGAGTAGAACCACAGACTCCCTTTATTCTATCCTCTCTTCTAAGGCTGGGGCAGGAAGCCCTGGGCTACATTCCAATCATGGATCACCATTATGGATTGCATCGCAAGCTATGTTATCAATAGGATCCACAACAACTTAGGAACCACATGACCTTGGGATTCAAAAGAGAGAGGGATACTTCAAGTTTTAAAATATTCTTTAAAAACAACAACAAGGTCTCGCTATATTGCCTGCTGGTCTCTAATTCCTGGGTTGTAACAATCCTCCCTCTTCATTCTTTCTAGTGTGGGACTATAGGTTCCAGCTACTATGTCTGAAAAGACCAATCATTTTTAAGAAACTGACATGCTACAGATACTATATCCTCCTTCAGTGGCTGGCATTATCTAAGCCCATTTGACAAGTAAGATAGCGATGGCTCAAACCCAAGCATGTAGTTCTTCTGTGGAAAACAAATATTTGAAATTAAAACTTAGAAATTGCTGTCCCATTTTTTATTATAATTTTTGAGATAGACTTTCACTAAATCATTCAGATAGGCTTGGAGATAATTATTCTTCTGCCCCAGCTTCCTCATTTTCTGGGACCACAGGCCCATGCCACCCAACCTGACTTCTTTTATGTTTTAAACAAATCATGGGTGGCTTCATAACTGAGACAGGGCAGGGGAAAATGGAGTAATAATTGTGGAGGCAGAGCTCTGTTTCTCCTCTCTCTTTTTATTTCTCCTTGGTGCTTGTACTAGAACCTGGGAGACAGAGTGGTGTGCTTTTCACCTTAATTAGTACAGCAATTTGCTAAATTTTGTTTTTGCCTTTATAAGAGTGTTAATCAATTTTACCTCGGAATAGATTGGAATGACATACAAATTATGAGAATCCCCAAATGCAAAATTCTGAACATCTCGATCAACCTAAGAGCCTAAAATATGTGAAAATCAGAAATTCTAGCCTGCATCAACATGATCAAACTATTTAAAATATTATTACTCTGAAATAAAATTATAATGGCTTTGTGGCTCTGAAAAGAATCTGTTTGCCAGAATCAGTCCCATACCTAGGTACCTATCTGTTCCTTCCCAAAGTGCTTAGTACAGAAAGTCAATGTTTTCCTTCAAAGCTACTATTTCCTCTAACAATAGCAGGATGCTAAACCTCCTAGTATGTTCTCATCTTCTTACTTCATTAAAGAGGTACTACGAGACTCCAATGGCAGCTCATCATTTTAACACTGTGACATAATATGGTCATTTGCATATTACATGCTCAAGATTTATGCAAGTGTTTTATAAAAAAAATAGGAAAATTTAAAAAAAAATGGGAACACACACAAACACAACTTACCATGATCTAAGTAAGTTTACATTTTGTGTCATGATGCATTCATAGATAGCTACCTTTGGCTGCATAAGGTCTAAGAAACACAGACTAGATAAAATGCTGAGAGACAAGTGGATAGAAAGTTTCTTGCTCTTTCTTGGAAAAGGGAAAGGAAAGCAGTGCCACTGAGTATAAAGGGATGGGTGAGATTGTGACAAGATATTAGGGGAGAAAGTTTGATAGAGGGAACAGAATAAACAAAGGAGTGCAACATTGGAGAGAAGCTACATATTAGGTATCTTCTAATAGTTATGGTTAAGTGTAGGGAGTTTATTGCAATGAGTAGATGCCACGAGCTCTCCTTCAGCCAATAACCTTTAAGATACCACCCACTTGGGCGTGGTCTCTTTTACTTTAAGAAGCAGTGGGAATCCAGCGATCTCTCTCTTGGTTCTGGCTCCCTTTCTGGCGACCAGACTCTCTGTTTCTTGTTTGCAATGAGAGGACTGTTGTTTGGGACAGTGATCTGTAAGTTTTTCTCTTCAAATAAATAACCCTTTTTTATTATCCCTAATTCTTAACTGGTGTGGGATTGTTTTGTGGCTTCAAGTAGAGACAGATAAGAAGTGGACTTGGAAGCCCTAATCAGTCAGTGGTCTTTAGACCACAATCCCAAATATCATGCAAGCAAGGTGGCACTATAGAAGAACTTGAAACAAAGGAATCAGGTGCCCATATGAATTTTATTAGTTAAAAGTTCCTAATGTAGTATTTATTCAGGAATTCGTCTTGAGGCATCAGCATATATTCTTTCATCAGAAACTCCTACCCCAAAACTTAGGATTATAATCTTTCTGTCCCTAAAGAACCAGGCTATCATGGGCAGGTGGTTGATGTGTGTCTTGTGATTAGTCGGTAACAGTACATAGAGTTAAGGTAAGATCTGTCACTCTAAGGTCAATGTTCACCTCAATGAACAACAAAATGATTACCTACTATGGTACCACAGATCATGTTTAGATACAAATCGAGGTCAGTGAACTTCAGCTTCTATGGAGTTCCTTGGTATCTAGAATTGCCCAGATCAAAGTAGGTAATCTGTTAGAAGGCCAGTTTTGCTAATACATTGCTTAATGATAAATTTAGATAAGAAGAGTTACAACCTGAACATGTCCTACTAGGAGGTGAGGTCCCTGTTCTTATTATAGACAATTAATTATGCAAAACTGAGGTCCCCAGTTGCAGCAGATAAGAGAACACTTTTCCCTTCTCCCTTCTTCCTTTCCATACCTTGAGCTCATCAGCATTATAGAAGTCCACACGCACTGCAGGTACCATCCAGGTTTGGAAGAGCGTAGCCAGGATCTGCTCTGCAATAGAATCAGCAATGAGGTGGAAATGCAGAGGGTTCCGCCTGTGGAGTAAAAAGGAGAATTCCAAAAAAGCATTAAAGGATTTGAATCTTGTTACAAACTGATAATGTGGGGCAGTGTCACAAGCCACTTTGGAAATAAATCAGGCATGTAGCTCCATAGTGCTTTTTGATGAGGATTTTAGAGATGCAAGAGACAGAGGACATCTCCCTCAACCTCTGCATTTCAGAGTGTAAACAACCAAGAACCACAGAAGGCAAGACCCAATTCTCACTTCTGTTATGAGGAAAAGAATCTAAAGTAGGACATATTTAATAATTGCATCAATTATTGCATCTGCCAGCTTGACATGCCAGCATTAATGCAGAAATACAATGACAGCAGGCCATGTCTTACACAGGTGTGGATGGCTGTCAACATACTTCCCCAGTAACTCAAAGACACAAGTATGACACAAAGGCAAAGATTCTGGGGGCTTCAGTGGCTTGAATACAAAATGTCCCCTATGTGCTTGAATACTTGGGCCCCAACTGGAGGCATTGTTGTGGTAGATAATGGGACCTTTAGGGGTAGCGTTTTGCTGAAGTAAGTGACTAGGAGTAAATATGAGTTTTTATAACTAAGCTCACTTGTTGTTCATGTTTGGCTTGCTGACTGCAGAGATGAACAGCTGGCTTTGTGCTCCTGCCTTCCCCTTCATGAAGAAAGGCATCCCCTAGGATTTTTTTGGCAACTTCAAGCCATAATAAACTATTATTAGGCTTTATTAACATTTCTTAGGCAGATATTGTTAGGGTATTTTCTTTCTTTTTTAAAAAATATTTATTTATTTATTATGTATACAATATTCTGTCTGTGTGTATGCCTGAAGGCCAGAAGAGGGCATCAAACCTCATTACAGATGGTTGTGAGCTACCATGTGGTTGCTGGGAATTGAACTCAGGACCTTTGGAAGAGCAGGCAATGCTCTTAACCTCTGAGCCATCTCTCCAGCCCGGGTATTTTCTTACAACAATGAGATGAGTAAAAAGTGCCAGAAACTGGTATGAGAAGAAGAGTATGCTTTTGAACATAATACAGAATAAATCCTTCCTTCCTTAAACTGATCTATCCCAAATCTTTTGTTATAATATGAAAAGTAATCAATACAAGGAAAAGTGGAAATGAGTCCTAAATCTTCCTACAGCATTTCTTTCTTGAGTCTGATAAATGGTGATCTTAGGCTTAAAAGCCATCCTATAATAAAAACAAAATAGGTTCACTCCTGTTTATAATTAAACCTCTATTCCTCAAGGACTGGGCTATGACCCACCAGCAACCTTAACTACAAATGGTTCTGTAAGCCTATTCCAGGAAACATCAACCATGCCTTTGTTTCAAAAAAAAAAAAATTACTAGACTATCTATGACTACCTTGCTATGACTTCTTGTTGCTATTACTACCTTGTTATAACCACCTTGCAATTACATCATTGTTTCAGGATGCTGTTATAATTAACTTGTTATGATTATGTTCTGCTACTATAACCTGCCCTTTTTTGGGGTCAGGGGATCTTTCAAGACAGGCTTTCTCTGTTGCTTTGGAGCCTGTCCCGGAACTCATTCTGTAGACCTATTTGAGATTGGCCTAAAACTCACAGAAATCTGCCTGCCTCTGCCTCCTGAGTGTTGGAATTAAATGCATGTGCCACCACTGCCTAGCTAACCTAGCTTATTTTGCCTGTCAAGTCCCCCATTTAGAAACCTCCTACCGCTAAGCTATAAAACTATGTCTAACACTTACCTCTTCAATCTCGTTTGTAGGAAGAGATAGCCTGTGTACATAAATAAAACTGCTTGCTTTAATCAATCATTTGCTTTAATTAATTTGGCCATGATGACTTATGTCAGTGGTCTTTTCCTTGCATCTCTGGAATTAACAACAAATATCACTTACCCTCTCTAGCAACAGAGTCTCATCCATCTCACACAACCCATGATTTCAGTACCTAATCAATGACAAAACTTCAGAGGCCACTCCATATAGGGTTCCAAGTTGAATCTCAGGAGATAAATCTACTAGCTTTAACTTATCGAGGTTCTGTAAAAGCGAATGGTTTCACCTCAAAATTCAGCATTAAAATCTGTAAAATGGGCTTGATCAATTATAGCTCTATGTATGTATATATGGACGTATACATGCATGCATCTATCTATCTATCATCTATATATTTACCAATCTACATGAACTGGTCTTAAGTAATATGAAGCAAATAAAATAGAGATCAGAAGGACAAGGACTTGGCTGATGATGGCTGTTACTATTACACCCAACCTTCACTGACATCTCACGAATATTTTATTTCTTTCTTCATGACTATTGCTTCCTCCAACATACATTTCACTCTATAAATCCTGTTCCTCTAAAACAATCCCATAATTCTCTGTCCACTGTATGATATTTTAATATCTACCCTCCCACATTGAGCTAACAGGGATTTTTTTTTTATTTTTGTTTTTTATTTTATTTTATTTTTTTAATTAATTAATTAATTAATTTATTTATTTATTTTGTTTTTCGAGACAGGGTTTCTCTGTGGTTGTGGAGCCTGTCCTGAAACTATCTCTTGTAGACCAGGCTGGTCTCGAACTCACAGAGATCCGCCTGCCTCTGCCTCCCGAGTGCTGGGATTATAGGCGTGAGCCACACTTTATAAATAATACCAAACAAAATTCCCACTTCCTCCCCTCCTCCCACTTCCCTCCTGCTCCCCTACACACCCTTCCCTCTCCCCCTCCAGTCCTGAGAGAGGGCAAGATACCCTGCCCTGTGGGAAGTCCAAGACTCTCCCAGTATATCCAGGCTTAGGAAGGTATGCATTCAAATAGAATAGGATCCCCAAAAGCCAGGACATGCAGTAGAGACAAATCCCAGTGCCATTATCATTGGCTTCTCAGTCTGTCCCAATTTTCAGCCACATTCAGTGGGTTCAGTTTGATCCCATGCTTGTTCAATCCCAGTCTAGATGGAGTTGGTAAGCTCATTAGCTCTGGCACACTGTCTCGGTGGGTGGACCAAGCCCTTCGTGGTCCTGACTTCCTTCTGCTCTTCAACTGGACCTTGGGAGTTCAGTCCAGTGCTTCTGATGTGGGTCTAGCTAACAGGGATTTTGAAGATTTCACCTTGTCCTCCACTTCATTCTCATGTCTTTGAAGTCCTTCCTCCTCCTCTGGATATTTTCTGTTCCATATCCACTTGTGACCCTCGCCTGTTCTTTCTATAAAATGAGCTCCAGAGTCATAAACTCCAGGCAGCTCTCTTCAGCCATCCTACCCATTGCAGCCCCACCTCTTCTCATCAAGCTCTGCCCAGGTCCCTCTGGAATAACGTGAGGTGTCTGTGGCAAGGTTCTTACGATTTCATAAGTAACTGACTTTATTTACTTTCACTGGCATAATGGGACTTGCAAGGTACATGGCCTACTGCAGTTCAAGAAATGCAGCATGCAGTTCTGCAAGTTTGTGAGCCTGCTGGTACCTCGGAATCACTACCTTCTGACCTCTGCTCCAAAGTTAACTAATCATAAATATAGGAAACCCCCTATACCATACTGAATTAAGACTGGACTTTTAAAACTCCATTTTGTTAATAACCCCCAGAATTATCCATACTTTCCCTCTTACAGAAATAATTCCTTGTTTTGTTTAATGAAAAAATAAAGACCAAGATGATCCAAATTCCATCACAGTTTGACAGAGTTAACCGGAACGTCACTATGAGAAGCATGTTGAAGGAAAGAGAGGAGGGACTTCTTCAACACTAGGTTATGTAACTACTTTATGAAACTAGAGTTGAATTGCTCTGTTTAGGCAGTTAAAGGGCAGGCACCATGGTGGATCATGTGCTAATCACACAACACATTCAAGCTTCCCCTGTATTTATAAGAAATATTAAAAATACTTGAAACTTGTACTTAAGACAAGGAATTAAAATAATTTTAAATATCACAACTTATAATAATTTGTTTTTTTCAAATATTTTAACACCCCCACCAAAAAACAAACAAACAAACAAAAAAGCACAATCTTTGCTTACACCAATGTCCAGGTTTATAGTCTAGGAATTTCATAGCCTGGAACAGTGACCCTTTTCCCCTTGAAGCAATGACTCCTTTCCCCTTCCTCCTTCATTTTCTATGTAGCAATTCATTAAGATTGGACAGGTGAAAAAGACTGTAAGGTACGACGCCAGCCAATGGGGGAAAAAAAGAGTTAGCACTTTAGTTAAAATAAATAGGAGGTATACTTCTTGTTGATGTTTTTGCTCTTTGGAGCACTCTCTGGATCAACAGTATAATATTTTGCCTTGTCCAGATACTTCAACTGGAGTGGTGTTCTCTTTCGTTCTGATTCCAAATTTATTTCTTCCACAAGAGAGAGTAGCTCTGCTTCTAGGGACAGAATTTGTATAGGATATGTGAAATCCTTACGGACTCCGGCCTGCTCATGTTAAAAATGTCCAGCCTCAATAAAGACTACTTCAGTCTTCATCTAGTTCCTACAGTACATCCATGGGTCAAGGTAGCAAGAAGGTTTTGGTCCCCTACATCTCAGGATTTATTTCTTACTTTTCTTTAACAAGCCTTCATTTGTTCTGCTCAGCCTTGTCCTTGCTTCTTATATTTCATTGTTCTTCTTAGGCATGAGACAATATACTCTAACAACATTGGCTTTAGGTAACTTTGCTGACCACTGACTAATCTTCAGACATGTTAGCTCACCAGGGTAAATGCTCTAACAGTGAAGAAAGACTATGCTGTTCTTAAAAATGACACATCACTAAAGCAGAAAGAGAGAGAGAGAACGGCGGGCGGGGGGGGGGGGGGGGGGATGAACTCTACTTCACTGCATTATCTGTTCCTGCTCACCATAACATGGAAGGAACAGCAGGATGGCTACCTGCAGATCCAGAGGAAGATTCTGTCAGGAGTTTAATGACTCCGGCACCTTCATCTCAGCACCCCAAAGAGAAGACCACATGTAATAATTGCTGAAGCCAAAA